TCCCTGAAAATAAACTGGGGAGAAAACTTGGACACACTTTTAAAGGAAGTTGGAGCTGTTGTTGCCAAAGTTGTGCACAGGCAAAATGTATTATCTTTGCTGACATGTTTACTGATGGTATTTTCTACCTGTCCAGATTTTTATTTACTTTTGCATATGGTATCCCCTTACATTTTACAGTATTGTTTTTGCACAAGAAAAATCATTCACTAGTTTTGTCTTTAAAGGAGATATGTTCTTTATGATTTCATGTACAGGTCAGTACTTCTAATTGACAAGCTACTGTAATGTGGAGGCTGTGTTGTTTAAGAATTGTAAGTCACAAAAGTTTTTTGTAATGAGAAGAACCTTTTGTATTGGATAAAGACTGGGATGTAGATGGGAAGGGAGAAGTAAGAACAATGGTGGTGATGAGGTTCCTGGCATGATGATGTTGTATCCAGAGGGGTCAGCAGAAATCCACCATGGCTGGTAATGCAGGTAAATGCAGAATATTATTATGCCTGTTTTACAAGTGGAAAACTGGAGAAAAAAAGAGATTTAGGCATTACTGTGACCATAAGGAATGCTATTTCCTTATCGTGATCAGTCCCCTGATTATGTTACCATCTTGACCTGAGCTGTTCCTAAAACTTCTAGTGGGCAGCCATGCCAAAGAAAAAGATGGCCGGCAAAACTGGGAGCTTGTCATCCTATTCTGGAAGGCCTTTTCTCCAGGCTGGGACTGGCTTTGCTCTTCCTCCAGTACTGACTTTACCTCTAAAAATACTAGTACTTTCAAACATGAGTCCTGGAAATTCATTAGATGATCATTCATAAACCAGGCTCTGAAAGCAATGTGATGAGGGTTTGTGTATGGTGCTTTCCGTTTGGTGGGAAATGGGAATATTGGAACAGGGCCACCAAAATTAAAATTTGGCATTTGCTGCTTCTACAGGGATTGCTGGCATTATCTAGTGTACTGGTTTTGGCCCAGATAGAGTTAAATTTCCTCATAGTAACTTGTACAGGGCTATGTTTTGAATTTGTGATAGACGTATTGTTAACACAGGGATGTTTTCATTACTTCTGAGAAGTGCTCACACGGAATTGAAGCCTTTCCTGTTTCTCACCCCACCCACCAGTGAGTAGGCTGGGGGTACCCAAGAAGTTGTGAGGGGACAAAGTTAAGACAGCTGACGACCACTGATTGAAGGGACATCTCACCATAAAATATTGTGCTCAGCAGTAAAACTGGGGTTGAGAGGCATGGGTGGCAGTTGGCCAGGGCTGCCATTGGAAACAGCCAGGGCACCAGCTGGTGGTGAGCAATTGTTTGACTTTGCATCACTTGTAACCTGTGTTCAGCTTTATTGCTTCTTTTCCTCCTTTTAAAAAAAAAAAAATATAATTAAACTGTCTTTATCTCAATTAATGAGTTTTTGCCCAGTTACCCTGTTATTTCTTTCCCCCATTTCACTGGAGGGGAGGTTGGTGAGTAAACAGCTGAGTGATGCTTGGCTGCCTACTGAGGTTTATCGACAGAAAAGTTGTTGATCTATCTACTTTTTCAAGTACACAGAAAATTATTAGGAGCACTACAACATATCAAGAAAAGTAAGTCAATGTGAGGTTAATTTTGTGCATTAATGATCTTTATGAAAGCATATTTACAGTAAACTCCTTACTTCTAAATTAAAAATAAAAAAAGTCTAGAAATTATGTGAGATTACTTTGAAGGACCTGGTCCCAAAATTGGTGATTAAAGAAGGATAAGCACAGCACTTGTGGCTTCAAAGGTCAGTCCTGCTGAATTTATGTGACTGATGGATTCCTTTCACCAGAGGTGCAATTTTCCCCTGAAGAAATACTTCTTCAAGACCAATGCTAGCCAGCTGGTATTTGTGGGAAAGTCCAAAGGGAATTACAAGTAGGTTGTTAGGTTATCATTTACTCAGTGGTTTCTGCCAATATTGTATCACAGAGATCCCACAGCACTTCTTCTTAGCATGTGATAAATTGTGTACCAGGTGAAGGTGAGAAAGGAGTGAGGGAAGCCACTATGATAACAGGCTGTTGCTTTGCTACTACTGCCATGAACCTGCTATTTCTCTGCCAGCAATCACCAGCACCTTAAGTGTGCCCAGCATTGCTCTCCTTGGCCTGTGATAAGATGCCTGCACATTTGGGAGTCCTTTAAGGAAATGCTGAGTACATGGCTCAAACGGAACAATTTTTTTCCTTCTGCATGCCACCGTGGCAAGAGGAGTACATTTTATGGCTACATTTGCAAGACCCTTATTGTATACCAGCTCTGCATGCAGCCCAAATGATTTCCAGTACCTGATATAGCATAAAATATCAAGTAGCATGAGAAAGAGGTGCCTCGGCCTGCTCCAGTGGTAAAGTGTGCTGGTTTGATCTCTTCCAGATACGACTGGTGACAGGAGCCTGTCCGTACAGTTGTGGTGTTATAAGAGTTATTTTTGTTGCATCTCTATATTTCATTAATTTTTTGATTAAAATTGGATTATTTTCATTACAGAAAGCTATTCAAATATCTTGTGTATTTAATGTAGCTTCCTTAGGTTTTTTTCCCACAAGAGGAATAAAATGGAAAAAAAAGAAAGTATCCAGTTTAAGAACTTCTACATGGTTGCTTTGCTTTGTCATTATACTGCAAATGTACTTGGAAGAAACTAAAGTCCATCCCTAAATCATGCAAAACTTTACATGAGATGGGTATAAAATAAAATATTTTATTTTATTTTATTCAGAACAAAATGGGTTCTGAAATAGATTTTTATGTTGTGTTTTGATTGATGGAAAAATCATGAACTTTCTGCTGTACTCTTTCAAGACTGCAAGCCAGTTTAATGCTAATGATTCAGCTGTTATCCAGCTAAATAAAATAGACTGATGAGGTTAAGTAAGGCCATAGTCAACGTCAGTTAATACAGTGTTGAATGTGTTGCCTGGTTAGTATTACAAAGAGAAAAGGAAAAGCAATGTCAGGCACCTTCATTTAAAAAACCTACCAAAGTGTCCCACACCCAAACAAACAAAAAATTTATGCAGAAAACCCAAATAAAATGAAGTTCTTGAACGCTAAGAAAATCTCTGTTAAGACACTAATGTTTTTAATGTCTCCTCTGAACTCATTATTTATATATCTTTGCCTTTGCTTCCCTAATTTGGTCAATCACATTCTTTAAGATGACACTCCAAGTCTGTCTGTTAATGTTTGGATTCCTGGGACTACTGTGGCTTTGAAAGTCCTTATTACTGCATCTTTGGCTTCTCTTCAATGAGCAGATGTTGACCATGGATGTATGCTGTAAATTCACCATTTCCATCTTCACAAGTTCTTTCTGCTGACACCTTTTTGTGGTTCTACTTTGAAAGGGAAAGGAGCCATTTCAAGCTTTTGTTGGCTTTAGTTCATACAGGTTCTTTTTTGCTGCTCCCATTTGAGTCATAACAAGGAATGTGCCATGCCATCAGGATCAAAACTAGTTACCTGTTGCATTCAGTGGAGGTGCAATCAGATCAGAGTAGCAGCTGGAAAAGTGATGGAGATACGACCTTGGCCTGGAAATAAATCTCAGATTCTGTAATTGATACTCTGGTGTTGTTTTCTGAGATATACCGTGACTACATTCATTACCTGAGCCTACCTGTGTGATCTTGGTGGGGCTTTAGTTTCATTATCATGAAGTGCTATGAAGCAGAGGAGTTTAGACACTGTTTCTGCAACAGCTGCAGGCTACAGTACGAGAGCTGTTTGGGCAAGGCTGGACATAGGAGGACTGGAAGTTGCCAGAATCACAGCCCCCGGCATTGCTGCAGTTGCCTTGGCACCCCAGGGAGGGCAAAGAAATTGAGGAGTGATGGCAAAGGTCAGCAGACTCTCAGAATCAGAAAAGCCTGGGCAAAAGCTCAGCCCTTCATTCATTGCAGAACAACCAGAGTGACAATGCAGCCTTTTTCTGTGGAGGATCTGTGGCCCTGTCCACTGTCCATTGTGTTGATTTCAATGAAACTTAAATGCGTACTCAGAATTAAGCACTTCTTTGCCTGGTGCCTTCAGGAGAGAGAGTTTCCTCAACTGGGGCCAAACATGTACTTTGTACAGGGCATCTTCTGACCCAAAAGGTCAATTAAAGCTTCTGAGGGACTCTGAAGGGATATTTTTAATTGTTCAAAGCCTTGTTTAGGTTTTCAGGCTCTGCAAAATAATTTGTGTGTTTGTATAAATGCATAAGGGAGAAGTTGGCAAAGGAGGAAGCTTGCTATTTGTTGTGTTTCAGGTCTTGCAACTATGGAGTCAGATTGAGTTTTGCTATTGATTTCAGTGAGTGCAGGGGCAACTTGTCTAGCTGTTTAGAATTAATAAATTTTTTTTCCCACATGGAGGTAATAGTACCTACTACAAATTAGAGACATTTTTGCTGATGTGATAAATAATTTTGAAGTTCTTGTATGTTTGCTTAATGGTTATAAACTTAAAGTAGAGGATAATTTCCATCCTTCTAATGGAAATCCCAGTACAGGGAATGAGGCACAAGTGGGACCCACTTAAATGCTGGATGACAGAAGTATTCCCAAGTCTGGCAGGTTTGGTATTACAATCTTCAGGTTAGGTGTATTCCACAGCAGTCTCTGTGTTGGTATAGCAGTTACTGCATGAGGGTAGGAATCATCTAGTTATGGGCTACTGCCACAAAACCCCACATCTTTGGTGTTACTTCATCTGAGCTTAAGCTGTGTTTTTCTTGTTTATTTTTGTTAACTGTTCTTTTAATGTGATCTGATGCAAAATTGTTTTCAAAACATAAAAGGTGAAGGAACAGCACTGTATCTCCTCCATTTGCTGTTTGGCAAGGCAGGAGCAGGTACTGCAGCAGGAAAAGACACCCCATCCCAGCAGGTTTCTAGGCTGATGCTGTTCAAGTCTGTGTGTTAAACCTTAACTGTGTGCAGACTGAAAATTCAGATGTGTTCCCTCTCCTTTGTTGCAGGAGAAAGCGTTTTCTGCTGCAGGTCTGAGAAAGGGCAGGCTGGCATGGAGAAAGAGGTAAGTGAAGAAAAACCATGCTTTAAAAGAAAAATTAAAGCGGTTATTCCTAGCATTGCTATTTCATAATATTATTTGTAGTGTGATGGGAGGGAAGTCAGCAGACGCGTAGGCTCCTTTTTATCATTGACAAGTCAAGGGGATGATTAACGAGAGTACCAGACAATGTAATGGTAGGAGAAGGCCCACAGAAGTTAAACAAAAGTGCCTTCAGAATTTAGAGAATTCCCATGATCCATAGTAGAACCTCATTGTGCTTGTCTACTGTTTCTATTTTTGATTAGATTTATAAACACAGCACCACATATTTTCATGTGGCTCATAGCCCCAGGGCAGACTGAGATTGACTGCACTGAAACTGTGAGGCTTGTGAATTTCGGGCAAGGGATGGAGTGAAATAAGTAGTGTAATTGTTTTTGTGGACTGACCGTGGGACCTCCTCTGTTCTGAATTACACATGGTTCAACCCTTTGACCTAACCAACCTCGGCAATGCCTGCTAGATCTCCTAAAGCTGTGCTGAAAGGTCCTATCAGTGACATGTTGGAACATTATCTGTCATGTGAGATGTGTGCCAACAACCATATTAAACTACATTAATTACTAGTGAGGCCATGTTTGTGACAATCTCAACTTCATTTAACCCATCATCATGTTAGTTATTGTTTAAACAGGAAGTACTAATGGGGACAATTTATGAAATCTAGATGCATCACCAATGTTTTCTCTAATAAAGTATGTGTTTTACTTTGGTTTAGTTCCTTTTTTTTTTTTTTTAACCCCCAGTATTTTTGTTCTTGTCATCAACTCTGTAGCTTGAGGGTTTTTTGGGGGACTTTTCTATTTTAAGAGCAAACAAGAAAAAGACTACTTCTTAGTAACTAAACTAATATGCTAGTTAAATGCCTTTTCCCTTTCAATGCAATTGCAAATGATACCACAGTTGACTGAAGGTGCCATGCTTGTTTTCTAGCAAGAAGGAAACATGTTAAGGTAGTTTATGTAAGGCTGAAAGATCACATGTGGGTTATTTGCTTGATGTACTCCTTCACTGCTTTACACTCTAGCTAGCACAACTCTGCACAGCCATGCTCACATACCTCTGGATCAGGAGTGAAGCATGCATTTCTTTTGAATCCTTGGAGAACAGTTTTCTCATAGGCCTGACCCTACAGGTAGCAAAGTGTCCAGGGAGTCCTCAAGTGGCAACCCAGTAGGTAGAAATTTGGAAGGATTCTCTGCACATGGTCATTTTCTGAAACAATTCTAAATTTTATAGAGGAAGAAGCAAAAGCTCTCCAGCATGTTCCTGCGTGGGCAGTGTATGGGTTCAATTGCACCTAGCTGTGCCCAGTATTATATTAAATTAGACACTGGTGTTTACATCTTCCACCTACGCACTGAGCTCTTTTTGACAAGGATTTTGCTTTAGCCTCATTTTCTAGATACAACAGGCTTAAATGAAGAGGGCATTTATTTATTTATTTATTTATTGCTGCAGAGTCAGCAAAAAAATATGTTTGACCCTACTAAATGTCGTTCTCATTATCAGTGAAGAGTTTGCTCAATGCAAAATCTAACATGGAGTGCTTAAAGCAGACAGGTGCAAATTACAAGCTGTTTCTCTTTAGCTGCCATCCCTTAAATAGAAAAATTAATAGGCTAGGAGAAGGGAAAAGGTTCCAGCTCCAACTGCATAAAGGAAAGCCTTAACAGGAATTTAGCAGCTGGTTGCAAACATTAAATGCTGTAAATACCAACTAGAGCATTTGTGTGTGTATGCTCACAGAGGAATGTGCTTTTAGTAAGGCTCCATTCCTTTCTATGCTACAGGATCATTCTTTGAAAACTGTGCTTTGCTTTATGTTGAAAGACTAATGCTCTTGCTGAAGTAAATGAGAGCAGAAGCCAACATACCTGTTCCTGTTTACCATCATTACACTCCTCAGAGCATTTCAGACATTATTAGGTTCTTGGAGCTGTACCAGATTGACAATAATTCCAGCTACTTCTCTTTTGGCTGTATACAAACAAGGCCCCAAAGGAAAAAGAAAAAAAGACCAAAGGAAAAAAAAAACCAACAAAACAACCTACCACCAAAACAAAACAACCAAACCACAAACAAAACCATGGATGAATCTGCTGAGCTAGTTTTCTGATGTTAGAAACAGTTGTTCATATTAGGAACACCTAATTTAATTTCATGAAAGAGACATAACATGCCAGTATGTGTATGAATCTAAGGTATGCATTTCCTAAAAGGAACTAAAACTCTGTCATTCCAAAGTTGCTCTTCTTTTTGACTTCCAGCTTGCGTGGGGACTGCTGTCTGGAAGCAGTAACTTTAACTTTAACTCTAAGGCTGCTGATGAGGTCTGTCTGTGTGATCTTCGTAAGTAGATAAGGGTAGGGAGACAGCTCAGAGCAGAGCTTGTTTACAGCAGGACAGAAGAAAACAGCTAGACATAAATGAGGGTTGACGGTTTCATGAAGCACAATTGGTTGATCACAGATTCAATATGACTGCCCTGAACTGAGCGATGATCCGTACAGTATGCAAAATTCACTTTCTTGCTGGTCTGTGCCCACCAGCCTTCCAGCAGCTTTCCCAGAGCCCCTCAGCCACGGCTTTGAGTGGAACCAGAGCTGAACGCAGCATTGTTGTACCCAATTCCTTTTGACAACAATCACATTCTTTTAAAAACTTCATAGGTTTTAGTTGTCACTGGTTATAAATGAGGTTTTTTTCCCTTGCTGCTTCTGCTGCTACTGCAGCAGTCACTGCTCTCCTGCAGACCCAAATGCGCTGTGTTCTGGTACTCCTGGTTTTCCTTTGTTTCAATTAGTATCGCAAAACAGGCAGTGCATTTTCATGATGATGGCATGCAAAAAGGTATTTAAAGGTTTAGGTCACTTTTTGAATGACATGGTGATCGGTTTGTTCTGTGCTCAAAAACTTCTAACTCCGCTTGTCTTTGCTGTAATGAAGCACACTCAAGGTAAAAAAGCATTAAAAAATAAAGAAGTGTAAAGGCAAGACTTTTTGGTTTTCAACAGCTGTAGTGGAGCTTTGAGATAGGATCAGCAGCAACATCACCCTTTAAGCTTGACTTTGCAAGCAAAGGACATCCCCCTTGTACGTGCTGGTTGCGGATGGGCAAATCTGACATGTATTGTTTGTGGTTCCAAGTTGGACCACCTCCACTGCAGGTGTAAACCAGCACAGCCTTTGTATCACTTGAGGTTCTGGCCTCAAGTTGTAGAATCCTGCTTTTTTTTTTTTAATAAAAAAGCTTTTTTAATGTTCATTTTTCTGATAATTTTTAAATGACTAGAATGGTGGCTTTCTGTACAAATGTGCATTCATGTACATTTACCCAGGTATGCTCACACAACTGGACTTTGCCTGTAAATATGGTAAGTGGTCACTGAATGAGTTTTGTTTAGTTTGCTGTTGGAAACTTAACTTTTGCAGGTACATATGAACTTATTAAAGCACAATTGCTTTAGACATAAATTTGCACAAATACATAAATTAACTAGTAATGACTAATGATAAAATGAATATAAAATGCCACTGGATAATTTCCTGCCTATTCTCTGATGAGAAGGCAAAATATCATAAGGGGAGGGAGAATGAGAAGGAAAACCTAAAATGAAGAAGGGTTGGAAAGATTGCAATTTACACTACTTAAAAGTACTCGTGTAAAAGAGAGAAGGATGAGGAAACTGGATGGGGAGAGGTAGTAAAAGAAAATATCTTCTAACTTCCTCCGAAGCACAAAGTGACAAGAACATGTGTTGATTACACAAAGGGCACCACCAAAATAATCTGTTACTCAGTTATACTGAGAAGTAACCCTGAAAGAATTCCTCTCTGCTGTTAAAAATCAGGTATTGCTCTCATTCTAAAAATACGAACTCATGAAAAGTACCTTTGGAAACCTGATCACATTAAGGGACAAGAACTTCATTTCTCTGTAAGTAGGAGTCACAAGCCTGTTAAGTCACAGCTACGTAAAAATCCTAATCTGTGTTTGAGTCAATGAAGTGCCAAAGGATGTAGCCTACTGTGTCCCTGAGTAAAACAAAATTTGCAGATAACTATACTGAATGCTTAAACCTTAGTAAACAAACAAACAAGACATACAAAACCCCACTCCAAAAAGTCAAAACCCACTTTATTAGAGAGAGAGGGAGAAGGAATACTTTTTTCTTCTTGCTGTGAAAGGAGTTCATGCATTTTACAGACTATAAAATTGAAAGTCAACTATATATATACATATAATACATACATAATATAGCCTGCAATTGGTTTTGCTAGGGAAATCTGACATGCAGAAGGAATATGTAAAATGTAATGCAGATCATCTGAATTCTGTTGAAGTTATGGATGTATGCTGATTTGCACCGGTGAAAAATATGGCCCAGAATTTTTGTAGATGATGTTTTCTTTGGCTGTTAGCATAGAGTTCAAGGTTTTGTGTGGTGATTACATGCAGCATAATAAGAATTATCACACAGCAGTATTACAAATACTGCTGGAATCTTTAAAACTTAGTCAAAATTTTATGGCATACAGGAGTGCAGCAAAGCTTTAATATTGGAAAAGAGGTGCAATTCTAAAGATACTAGCTGAGCAAATATCTATTTTTGAAAGATTTTTCAGTTGGGAAAAAAATTGGAAGCAGTAGGGTAAATATCTGAACGCCTGTCAAAATTATCATTAACTTCAGTTGTGCTGCATGTGACTTGGAGGAATTATTTCTGTTACAGTATTTATTTTTTGTAGCTTTCAGAAAGTGTCTGGTCATTTTCACACATACTTGCCTTTTGGTAGGGTAATAGTCTTAATTTAGAGGAATTCTACTGTTATCAGAATAACATATATGTGTGTGTGCATACATACATGTGGATATTAATATCTATATTAATCTGTCAGTGGTATGATTCAGTTATTTTTGACAGATTTATTGATTTTGTCTGCTGGAAGCACTTTTTTTTTTTCTTTTTTTTTTTTACTAGAAATTGACACCCATGATAAAGTGGGAAAGATGGAAGCTGTAAAAATTGCAATTTTTCAATTATTCTTGTAATTAAGCCTTTTGTATTGACAGTTTCCAGGAGCTATGTTGGCAGGAGTGGTCTTTATCACTGGACAATTAAGCAACTGGCTTGAAAAAAATAATGCTGTTTTCGGAAACTGCTATGTGATGTTTGAAAATAAATGGGTCTGAACTGTTTTCTTACTTCGGTTTTGGTTTTGGTTAATACTCCCAGACATGCTTTGTTTTAGGTAATCTTTGCCTGCTTTGACTCTTAGCATCTGCTATATAGGGGTCTGTAGCGATCTTCAAGCCCATCCGTGATTCTTGCTAGCGCTGCTTGAGGTATTATACAAAGATGGTGTTTAACACTTGGCCCTTCTTAATGATAGTAACGTGACCGCATATTTTTTGAGCCTTGCATACCCACAGGAATTAATGCAGAACTTGTCAGAGTTTAAGTCCTCCAAGATCCCTTGCTATTTGTTTTCTCTGTAAGTTGCTGGCATCTCTCTAATATTAGGTGAACTTTTCACTCTAGTAATGAGTCCTGCTTCCCCTCTACCCTGGACCTCTGTTTTGTGACATCTTATTCTAAATTGTTTTGGGTTTTTTATTTCATTGTATTTTATGAAAGGGTAGAGCTCATTCATTTTTAGCTGCTCTGTGATGAACAACTACACTGGTTATGTAAGTGGACCTAGAATATAAGACAACAGGGGATCTCAGGGAAATCTGTCTACAAATACGCTGCATAACCAAACTTTTCTAAATGAAATGCTGCAGTTCTGCAAGTGAAATAAAGCAGTTGCTGCTGAATACATACTGAAAGACTAGTCATATAATGTTCTTCATTTGTTGAGGTTTCTTTGCATTAATTAAAATTGGGAAAAAAACAAAGTATTTTAATGTGACCTTCATTTGGCATTTGTTTTAACTTTTCTTCTATTTTATTTAATTCTTCCACTTCTGTTGTTCAATTAGTGTTTGACCCCTTTAGCAGAGATTTAAATTAAATGACATTTCAATGCCATCCCATATTTAAAATACTGTGTTAGTTGTGGATCATAAAGGATGATCTTCGTTCTTTAGCTAATTTATTCATTTAACAATTTCCCTCCAGAAGTTCCAGCAGAAGGCTCTGAAGCAAACTAAGCAGAAGAAATCCAAGTCGGCTGAATTTCTGATGGGTAAGCCTTGCTTGATGAGTTATTGCTCATAATTTGTGTAAGGATTAATTAACTAATTACAGACAAATGGCTGTGGGCGAAATTTTGCTCTTGCTTGTCAGGGTGCAATTTGTAATTATTTTAATCATTTATTCTTTCCTTTTTTTTCCTTTTTTTTTTTTTTTTTAAGAGTTAATTTTAACCTAATTCTGTTTTGGCGACATTTGAGGACGATACACTTGAGTCTTTCAGCAAAGGAATTACTAGAAGGAATTTTCTGCTTGTCATTGAAATACACTTTGCTATAATGTGTTCTTCTGACCTCCTTGTTTTCTTATAGTAAAAGAAGAGAAAGCAGCAATAGAAGGCATTGAAAATCCAGCTTTTAACATCAGCAGCACAGATCTTTCAGCATATCAGCCTTCAAAAGAGAAAGTTACTACACATGACAAGCCAGATAGCACCCTTGCTGCTCACCAACAAAAACTCAGGCTACAAGCCCATGCTGAACCAAGAGGTGAGACATCAAACCTGATTAGCCTCAAACTCAGAGGCAGTCATTGTGTTCTCCATTCAACCTGCATGCTTCACGGCCTGTACTGGGTGTTCCCAACCTGATGTGTCCAGACAGGAGCCCCTGCAAACCCTCCATGGGAAACCCAAAATACTGCTGAAAACATTGGCTGTCTAAATATTTAGAGACCCAGGCTCTGTCTCCATGCTCAGGTGACACCCTGTAATGCGGTACAGGTTGCACAGGGCTCCCTACCAGTCGGAGGGAGCATAAGAAGCACTTACCCATAATTCAGGTTGGGTTGGGTTGCTTTTTGGAGGCACCACAGCCAGTCCGAGCACACAGATGCTGCTCCCTCTCATTGAGTAGTTTTAAACAGCTTACAGATCTATGATTGACTGTTGTCCTTAGTTCTCCCATATGCCCTCAGTCAATCAGCATCTTGCCACTGCTTTGGCTTCGTTATTTTTTTCAGCCAGTGTTGCTCAGATGCTTGGAGCAGAGTTCTGTTTGCTCTGCTTGTCCACGGGAGTAATCCTGGCTTTTAAGCTCAGCTTTGATGCAGCACCAAAAAGAGTCACTGCCTCAGGAAACAATTTCTGTTTAGTATTTAGGTTTATTCAAACAAACTATAAGGATCTTCACTGATGTCAGTTTTCCTTTCCAGAGGAAAAGAAATATTTTTCTATCTTTTAACCTATTATTTAATTATTCCATTTTGAATTACTGTTACTGCTGAATGTTTACTGTGAATGGTTATTTTTGCTTAGTAATTCCGTGACGAAAAGAATTTAAAGACATCTTGCGAGCTATAGGAGTAAAATCTTAGGCCAAGATTTAACCTAAAAGCAAAAATGTCTGAAGTCAGACTTAAAATCTCCCCTAAGTACCCAAAAAAAACCCCCAAACCCCACCTTATTGGACTGTGTCTCATGAACTTCAAGTGGACAGTGTGCACCACGAATATCCAAATGTGCATCCAAGGCCTGAGATCTCCCAAGGTACCAAAGTAACTAGTATGGCTTTGAAAATTGCTGGTTACCCAACACTTCCCATTAAACTTGCAAGCAGCAATACTGCTCACTGAGTAACCTTCCTTGCCAGCCCAACTATTGAAATGGGCAAGTGCCGGCTGGTGAGCAGAACTTCAAGCATTCGCTTTTAAAACTCTGAACCTTGTTGTGTTAAGATTTTATCCTTGAGGGACTAGAAAGCCCACGGCTCCTAACGGCCCTTGCAAAATTAGGTTTGGTTTTCCATTTGGCCTTCATGTGACTCTGTGCAGCCCTGCATGGAGCAGGAATTCTTCGTCTTTCCTTTGCAGCCTGTCAGAACAGTGATTAAGCAGACAAAGGGATTGATTGTTTTTTAATGAAATAGTCTATCTGGCAAAAAATGAAGTCGGGCTCACTGGAGACTATCCATGCTTTCAGTCGCCTCTTCAGAAATTCATGAATAGTTCCCTCAAGAAAACAACACATTTTTTTAAAGCCTGAAATGTGTTTTTAAACATTTTGATTTTTCATCCTAAGTAGCATTTTGCTCAAAAAACCTTAACTGAATATAATCTTTGTGAAATGAGTAGAAACTGGTATATTTTGCCTGGAATGCAATGCCTTGATACACTGCTAAGTGTTTCTGTAATAGGAAAGGGAAGCTTGCCAAGAGTTGGAAAATTTTGTTTCCCAACACCATGTCTCCCTCCTTGACCTTCTGTTTATCCAGTTCACCAAAAGATCAGCTATTCGCATAGCTCTGCCTCTAAGTCATGCAGCTATTAATAAATAAATAAATAAATAAATAAAAGAGACGATCATTCATTTATGCCGTCATAAAAAAAGTCTAGATTGGAAGAGATCTCTAGAGATTAGCTGGTTCAACCTTGCATTAAATTATTCTTAGTCTAACTTATGTCAGGACTTGTTTGACAGTCACAGGGGCCAGTTCAAATTTATCAAGGGCTGCTGACAGAACAACAGCTTCAAGCCTGTCCTGAAATCTGGGGAGAAAAAAATGAACTAAGCCTTCTTGTACCTTGTGAGCTAATTTTTCCCTATTCCCAAGTGTAACGACACTTCATTAAAGAGGGAAAAGGAAAAGCCGACTGCATAGGTAAATGCAATATTACATGAATGTAGTAATATATAAATGGTTGTATTTTGCAGTCCTCAGTGAAAGTAGGTCTACAGGCATCTTAACCATTCAGGTGGCAATCTGTTGTTGTCTTGGACTGCCAGAGCTCAAGGGCTTAGTTCCTCGAACCTTCCTTCCTTTCCTTTGCTTCATGTTTGTAGCTATTTTGTGCAGTTGCTGTCATTTCAGCACACAGCAAAACCACACACGATGCTGAAAACTTCCACCATTCTTTACCACAGGGGAAACTCTCCTGCCTCTCAGCTCTCAAGAGCCACTGCGCAGTTCACAGGAAAGATTTTAGTACAGATGTCTCCTTCTCTTGTTTTCCCCTAAGAGTCAAGACTTGCATACCACACTGAAAGCTATTTCTCTAGGAAGGGGTGCCCACACGCCACAGGCATGGCTTGTTGCCCTAAACTTTGCTACGCCAATCAAATGACAGTCCTTTTACCACTTCATGCCAGGCTTCCTTACCTTAAGGGAAATGCCTGACAAGCACAACAGCACAGCCTGTGTAAAACAAACGTATTTTAGGGCCCTCCATGACTCCCTTCCTCTTTTCCCCCTTTTCTTCCCCAGATGCTAATGGAATACTATTCCTTTTGATATATCCTCCCCTCCACAACCATTGGGTGCTTTTCCATCTCTCAGCCCCCAGGCTTAGGTTCAGTTACTTACTCAGTGGGGAATGGCATTTGTCAATTCTAATGCTCAGTGTTAAACTGTACAATCAAAATCAGTTATAACCTTAAGCATAATTATTTAATCACAGTGTTTAGCAGATTACAGGTTGAAAACGCTATATAAACATCAGGCTGGATTTTCAGGCTATGCACTTGAAGGCAGGACATGAAGATGGCATTGCCTTTCCATTATCTCTCCACCCATCACCCGTGTCATTAATGGTAGTGAATAAATAGCTACAGGGGTTGCTATCATTTCCTCCACCTTGCAACAGTGTCACAGCCTGTTCCTCCATCAGCAATTGCTGGAGGGAAGTGTTCTCTGAAAAAACCTCCACCTACTTTTGAGATGCCTTCTCGCACACCTTCATGCTAAGGATGCCAGGAAGGAGTATGAATAGTCAGCTGTGTATTCCAGACACCTTTAAAACCTGTTCCTGAAATTTGGCTCTGCAGAACATGCATCACTTGGAGATTAAATAGCCAGTACAGAGGTGCATGATATTACATCTGCCCCCAAACAGCTTAATTCACAGATATGCTTGTTCTGTATTGACTTTTCCATTCTCATTCCTCCAATAAAAGGCAATGTCCTGAAAAGGAGTTTGTGAACTGACTATTATTTTCAAGAAACTGATTAAATCTTCCCAGTATTTTTGTTTTGGTTTTGGAGGCTTTTCAACTTTTCAAACCAGATTGGTGCAGACTCTTCTTGTGATTCAAAGTGCAAGGCTTCTGCATCCTTTGCTTGTGGGGAAACTGAGGCAGAACATGAGGCCTTATCTGCAGTCACCCTGCAGTTCCGTGATGGAAATAGGAATAAAACTTCTGATCTCTAGTCCATTGCTCTGTTAGGCCGTTCTGTATCTCACACTGTGTTATTCCCCATGATGGACAAAATTCCAGATTTTATCATCAGCATCAGTTGTTGTTCAAGAACAGGTCATTGAGTAACTTTTTCTGCTGTATGCTTTCCATCATTGCTTTTATGCTGTTGAAGACCCAGTACTGCTGTTAAATGTTATAGTGACCCAGGGGAACTGGCTGACTATTTACTCAGATTAATCTCCTGATTTTCAGCCAGCTAATTGGTTGCAGTGGCTTCTACCCTATTTTCTCTTCTTGATTCTATGCTGACTCTTTGTTGATTGCTCCTATCACCTTCATTTGTTTCACATACTGCTTGTGAAATTAAGGTCATCTAGCAGCAGCTTTGTCTTTGCCAAACTGTACAATTTACTTGTCTCTGAAAGTACTTGGAGTTTCCTTGTGAATAAATCTGATCAACTTTTCTGCCCTTCCTCCCCTCTGTAAATATTGAATTTGCCAGAAATTTTTATGTTGGCTGTTCCAGTGAGAAGTCTAAGAGACCAGTTTCCCTGAGAAAAATATTTTAGGTTAGAACACCCAAACCTGGAGTGATAGGAAGCTGTTTCCACCTGTTTTTCAATTGCCAGATGTCTGCTCTCAAGTAAGCCAGTATCAGTTTTTCCTCTTTTCTCCAGAAGAGTTTAAATGCATCACACTTTTTAGAGAGTGCCCTAGTGTGCAGGCTGGCTTTATAAAGCCTAGCAAAGGGCTTCCAGCAAACTGTCATGAAGGAAGGACCAGATCTTCAAGAGTATGCTATCTTTGCTGATAGTAGAATATAAAAGTAGTTGCTAAACCTCAGATGGATTATGTATGTCACATAAGTAACTCCTTAACTTAGGGCTACTGTACTTAGAATTTTATTGTATACCTATAAAGCAAATGTTAATCTATTTTAGCATCCAATAAATTTTGTCTTCAGCTGCTGTGATCAGAAAATATGCAAGTGGCTTATATCAATTTGTACTATTTAGTGTTCACTACAGCTACAGAGCTATATGGGTTTGGGCCAGCCCTGAGAAGAGCCCTGTGGAATGGCACTGTTCACATTTCTACAAGGTAGGCAATATTTCCAGCCCAACCATACAGAAGGAATATACGTCAGAACAAACTAGACTGATCTTTTTTTGGTACTGACCACACATACAAGCTACAGAACCCAGATATGGGGCTTTTTGAACATTCTCCCACTACGTGGTCTGCCTTGCACCTGGCAGTTGCATATACACCTTTGGAGACTTTGATGCTCTCTGGCTTTTGCATGGAAGATGAAAGAAAGACTGATTGTGTTCTCCTGTAGTCTGTGCACTTGTG